TTTCTAACAAATAATAAAAAATCACAAGCAATGAATATATTTAAAAAATCGCTTCACGTGTCATTAATTTTGAAATTATTAAAGATCAATATAAAGGTCAATTAATATTTCATTGATTTTATCGTAACAATCATCTCTGAATAACAAGATGAAAGTTCAATTTTCCGCTGATTACATTCATTTACAAATTGAAAAAAAGTATGAACGCGTTAATACCATTGTTGGGAAAAATTTATACTGTCTCGTATAAACTTTCTAAAACCTTGAAACATCATCAAAACGTCACTATATATTTTCATTACGTATGACATCCGCAATACGTTTTTTCAATAGACATACACAAATCACTGACTTTTGTTAACAATTTAATAATCTATACCTGACACGATTAAATAAAACTTTCAAGAAAAATAGTTTAATTTAATTAATTAAATTTAATACTAAATTTATTATTAACAAAATAAATAATAAATTACTTTTATATCTGAAAATAAAGGATAAATTGAACATATTTTTTAATATTTAATTATTAATTTATCACTTTTTAATATCAATTATTTATTATTTTTTCTTTATATTTATTAACAGGGTGTCTATTAAAAATCTGAATTAAAATTCCAGGACTTTTCCAGGACTTTCCAGGACATTAAATTGGATGACCTTAAGGAATAAAAAAATTTTTAGTTGAACTATTGTTTTTAGAAATTATTAAAAAATTAATTAATTACTTAAGTAAATTTTCATTTAACTTATTTAATGAATTTTTTTTAACTTGATTGACAAAATATAAAAAATTCAAGGACAAAAATTAAAATTCCAGGACATTTTTTCAAATTCCAAGACATTTCCAGGACTTCCAGGATTAGTAGACACCCTGTTATTAATTAAAAATGAAATGTTATGATAACTTTTAATGTTAATTTAAATTAGAATAATAATTAATTAATAATTTAATTAAAATAAAAAAAATTAAATAAAATAAAAAATTTTACTGATTTAAATGTTCAGAACGTTTTTTTATACATATCTTACAAATGAAAGAATATTAAAAAATTTAATTAAAATCATTAAGGATTTACAATTAAGTGACTATGATGAAAGAAGCAATTAAAAATGGGTGAGGCTTTTGAGTATGCAATTAAATCAAACTAGATTTATACCCACATTGTTGCTCAAGTGCATAATCGCCAAAGGGTCAATTGCCTCGACGTTAGTTGAAATACGAGGAAGTTATAAAATGTATTATTTCATTGATGACATTGAAATTGAACTATGTATTTCAATATAAATAACAAATGAGTTCAATAATTATAAATAAACGTAACTAATATACCTAATTAAATATATAACTTTTTTAATTATTAATCTCGATAAAAAAATATTTTATAAAAATAAAATTTTACCTTCAATTATTAGTTTTAAATAGTTAATAAAAAATTTTTAATTAATCTCATAACATTTTATTTTTTATATAAAGAATTATTTTTATTTCTTTGTTCAACTGTTAAAAAATAAAGAAAGAAATAAAATTTCAAATTTTAGTGTATTGGGAAATTTTTTCAATCTTTCTTTTTAAATATTTCAGAATAAATTATTCTTATCGTATAATGACTAATGAGAATTTTAAATACTTTTTTATTTTCAGTTACAACAGTAATTTATAGCAACATTTCAGTTGAGTTTTTTATGAACGTTAAAAATTTCAATATAAAACTAAACAAAAAGTAATAAAAATTAAGTCGATAATTTCTTACGGTAGTAGTACATTTTTTTTTTTTTTTATAAATTAATTATGCCAATTAAAATACATCAGAATCAAAACTTATCTGATGACTTGAATTTCCAGCTTTCGTGCATTCAATGATAAAGTTTCAAACAAACTTATGTAGTATATTCTTTCATTTATTTTTAAATATATAAATTTAAAGAATAAAAAGTAATTTTTAATTCAGATAAATTGTAAAAAGTACCTCTATATTTATTTTTGAGTTAATTAGATTTTAAAATACCTGAATAGTTATTTTTAAAACTCAAATAAACTTCAAAAATAATTAAATTTTTAATTCAAATTAATTTCAAAAGTAATTTAACAATCGTTTTCGACTCAAATTTCATGAGGATAACTCCAAAAGAAGTTATTTTTTATTTAAATTAATTTTCAATAATAATTTGATTTGATGATTTCAATTAAAATATCTAAATAAATATTGTAAAATTCTTAAATAAATAAATAAAACATTGATTCAAATTACTATTAAAAAATAATAATTCAATAAATATTTTTTATTCAAATTAATTTCAAAAATAACCGAAAACCTAAGCAAATTAATTTAGAAAAAGAATATTTTGTTATTTTTTAATTTAAATTTATTTATTTCTAAATAAATAAATTCAAAATATTTTTTGACTCCGACAGAGTTTAAAAAGATTAAATAAATATTTTTGACATTATAATTTCAAAAAAAATTTAATTGTTATTTTTAACTAAAAACAATTTAGTTACAATTTTCTGCTCAAATTAGTTCCAAAAATAGTTCATTAGATATTTTAACTGAAAATTTAGTTTTTAAAATAGTTCAAAACCTATTTTTGGCTTAAATTAATATTTTTAATTTATGTTTTCTTTATTGAAAAATGAAAATTAAAAAAAAAATACTTTTAAAGCTAATTCAAGTTATTTTTGACAGAAAATAATTTCAAAAATACTTTAAAATTTATTTTCGAACTAAAGTTAAATTAAAAGTTCTGGCATTAGTCAAAATATTTTCAACTATTTTGACGTATAGTAAAAAATGTAATAAACATCATTATTGTTGTTTTTGTTATGTTATTATTATGACAGTAGTGGAAGATTTAAATCCAAGTGTCAATAGGTATTAAAGTAAAATTAAAAGTGACTTTTCAGTCTCAGTAGCTTTGCGCAGCTAGACGATCCAATTTAACTTATATACAATGCTCTAAATTCTCAGGTTAGCGTAGGCGTAGGTGCACTAATATGTATATATCTACATATGTATATGTATTCTCGATGCTATGGAGAGGAAAAGAGAGAAATGAAACGATCCGTCCGTTCCGGGAGCCGCGCTTACGCAACCCCCTTTTGGGTGCTCAAAATTAAAGTCACTGGATCGCACTCATCGTATTTTTAGAAAGCCAACTGTTCAACGACAAGATTCGTTGTCAACTCTCAGAAGGCGAAGGTGAAAATTAATCCCAAGAAAATGATTACAATTCATTTCAACTGAAAAAGACTATACATTCGAAAATTGTTAATTGCTCCACATTAAGCGAAGACAATGGAAAATCATCATTATTATTACACTTTCGATTAATTATAACAAATCTCTTAGACAATCGTTTTGCGATAAGATTAAACTTAATTACAAAAATAATTATGTTCTCATGTGACAAGAATGTCGTATACGAATATTGTTTACAAAAAAGTAATTTTACCCAGGTAATAGAATTATAATAGAGAATTCAAAATTAGAGAAAAGAATAATAAAATATTATTCTTTCAAAATGTAATAAAATTTCCTTTGCTCCTGCCAAACGCTGTTCTTTAAAGAATATTTTTGTTCCATGTGCGTCAGTGCTTGAAGAATGCAGAAACATGAAAGAGAAAGATACAATTTTTTAACAGAGCACGTATTTATTAAAAATTTATATGAAACGAATGAAAATAAAAATCTAAAGAATCCAACCAAAACAATAAAAATCTACCCTAAACAATAGAAATCTAATTGAGAGAATAAATACAAAAACTAAAAAATGCAAGTCATGAATATGAAAAATATAAATAAAAATTAAACCTACAAAGAAAGTCAAAGCAAAAACAATAAAATAAACGACAATTATTTCACTAATATGTTAAAATCAAAAAACATTGAAATAGAAAAATAAATATCAAGTTTTCAGTTTTTAATGTAAAATTCCAGCATTCTTCGATGCTTCAAGTTCAAATCTAAATGTCCACTCGAACAGAATTAGACACGGAAAGAAGACCTGGTTGCCAATCGTGTCATCTGATTCGATAGAAAAAAAAAACTCCATGACCTAAAGACAAGAAGCGAAATACCAAACGAGAGTTCAACATATAAAAATTATCTCTACAAATTGAATTTTCCTTCTTTCAATTTTCTAAAAAAAAATCTAATTTTCTCCTATAAAATTTCACTTTTAAAGAGAGCTTTTAATCTATTTTCAACATTTATTTAACTTTACGATAAGTTCTTTAAATAAATCGATTAATCACAAACTGACATTTTTCAATTAAAATTTCAAATATAGAATAAAAAACGAAAAAAAACCTGTTTTTTTTTCTTTTTCAATTTATAACCATCTGAATATGTATATCATTTATTAAATGTACGTATATATAATAAATTTATGATATCAATTGCCTTAACCTATACTCATTTTAATTGCATAAAATGCAATTATTATTTTGATTTTAATAATGTGACATTATTATTTCACGAATATTCTAAAATTCATAATAAATTTGTAAATTCAATGTGAATCCAATAATTTTGATAAACAAATAAATTTTCTTCAAATATTTACTGTTATTATTATTATTTCTACACAAACAAAATTTCTATTTTGAGAAGAAAGAGCTTAATACATATTAATAAACGAATATGTAATTAAATTTTAATTTTAAATAATAAAGTACTTGTTCTGACGAAATAAATATGCAAGATTTCAAAGCACATTGACTTCTGTTTATAAACGAAATTACTTTCAAGAATTCAAATAAGAACATTAAGCAACCTTGCTTTTAAAGATCTATAAATATTGAAACACATGTTTTAAAGCTATATCTGGCAGAAGAAAATTTTCTTTTAAAAAAAAAAGAACATTTTGATGTCAGTGATGATTAAAACATCTGAATCTTTAAATATACAATAAATTTTTTTTTCTTTTGAAATCAAGAATAGGTTAAAATAATTTAGATAAAAATATTGGATTCAGATTGTTCCACAATTAATACTAACCCTTTTCAGCTGATTGCCCGTAATATTCACAAGTTCATTTCTAATTAAATTGAACTTCATCATTGTATCGCTGGAAAAAATAGAGCAGCCAAAGGCCAATCCAGGATAATCGGCGCATCTTTTTCTTCTTCTTGCTTCTCTTTCAGCCTCGACTTCGGTTCGTTCGCTTGGACAACGTAATCTTGCAAGTTCAGCTAGTTCAGGATCATCCTCAACGTTAATAGACTCGTCATCGGAGTTCCCATCTCCCCGAACCCTTGCGTCCGCGTGCTCAGGTTCGGGGCTTCCTCGATTATCTAAATTTGATTCTGTTTCTATCCGAGGTGCTTCATCCGGATCTTCTGATTTTTTAAATTTTCGTTTATTTATCTTTTTTCTAATGTCCTGACCACACTGCGCGGGCCTTTTTTGGACATTATCTTTGATATCCGGAATTTGATTTTTTATTTCAATATTGACATTTGATTCATTATTATGAATTTTTATATTGATTGATTGTTGTTTTGAATCAGGGAACGTGTTTTTTGAATCGATGAGAGTCTTGCGAAAAGCAGGTAAACGTCGAGGTGACACGAGAACGGTGGTGAGGTTAGGTTCCTCATGTGCTGTAGACGTTGTTGTCACGTCATTGTTGCCAATGATAGGACTCGTTGTTGTCGTTGTCTTGGAATCAGCTGTGTCATCTGTCAAAGTTGTCGTTGTTCCAGCAGGGCCACACTGCGCGGGTCCTCTGCTGGAAATGTCAACACGTCTTCGTGTTGCATGCCGTGGATGATGCTGATGCCCGCGACGTCTCGTCGTCGACGTGAGCGCGTGCTCCATGTCCTTCTGCCCTCGCGTCCTACCTCCCTTCCGTCGATCACTATATGCTATACCAGTACTGCTACCACCGCACCGGACACTCCGCCATTTTCTCTGGCACTGCCACACGTTCTTTTGCAGCTGATGCTGCTGCCACCGTCGTCGACATTGCCTCTATACATATATACATCGGCCCACGCATACGTGTTTCACGCTACATGGATTTATAAACGTCTTCTCAATACTGTTACACATACACACACACACACTGTGTTTCTGTTTTTGATACGCACAAGAATCGTACTACTATTTTACGTTCTTGCGCGCGACGTGGTGAACCTCAACACTAAAATTGAAACTCTCACTCGGTATCTCAATTCCAAAGATTTAATTCTACGCGAACATTTCCTCGCGCCATCTTATAATTGAAATCAATTTTTTTGGCCTAATAAACATTGACATAACCTCTAAAAACAATTCCCCAAATTTTTACATTTACACGTATTTTAATATAAAGATACAAATTTTTCAAATCTAAATGCCAATTTACAAATTTATTTACTGATTACTGTAAATAGGGAAATTATAATTATTTCTTTTAATTTAAGACCAGAAGAAACGAATTTAAATGTACACGAACACCATATCTCTAAACTAATAATTGTGGGAAATTTGAAATTCTTTTGCAAGGTTGGGTAATTATGCATTTAGGAAACTTGATTGGCTGGTTATATTACCGGAAATATTACCATCCAATGAAAATTCGTTATTGTTAGAGATAATAACTTCCTAACCCTGCCCACCGCCCATGTGAACGCACATTAATCTAAAGGTGCTTTTAATTTTGCACAAAAAAAAAAACATAAACTGTCTCGATTTACCACATTTATTGTAATTTATTCAATGAAAAACTTGATAAGCAATATTAATTACTTAAATTAATTTATTCTTGAAGTGTAATGGAAAATAAATACAAAATTTAAAATATTTTGGGATTCCCCACCCCCAAAATTAAGAAATCACTTTCGACATTCAATATAAGAAAAGTTATCTTTATTTTTCAAAATTAAATTTTATTATTAAAAACAATTAACTGCTTTTAATAATATATAATTTTATGAAAAAGTAAATATACGAATCTGAGGTTATGTCAATTGAATTTGTTTTAGACGTTTCAGAGAAAACACAAAGTAGTAAGTAAAACTTTGAAAAATTGAAAATAAACTGGAGTTGATAAAAGTTAGATTTTAACTGTTCCATTTTCAATTATAGAACAAGATTTCCAGAGGCATGATCATTCTAATCTTAGCACTTTAAGAAAATAGAAATAACAGCTGTCACTTCCGTTGAAGATGTTTTGTATAAACTACAGTTCAATGCTGATCTATTGAACAATATCAAAACTTTTTAACTTGCTTCAATATAATAATATAACTAAATTCTAATACTCTATTAATAAAATTTGAATTTTACATTGTTAAACATTAATAATAATAATTATTATGGTTAATATTATACAACTAGTAATTTTTTTAAATTTTGTATTAAACCAAGTCCACTTCTGGGCCGAAAGGCTGAAGCTTAATTAATAAATAAATAATATTATACAATTAGTAAATTTAAATTTACTATTGTTTACTTTAGTAGAATTTTAATTGAAAAATGTCAATTTGATTATATCCATGTCATCAACTTCTGATATACTGTAATATTTAACGATAAAGAAAACCAAGAAAATTGAAGTTCGGAATATATTTAAATAATATAAACCGGAAAGACATTGAAATATTTTTTTTTTGCACAAAAAAAAAAAATCGAAAATATGAAACTTGAAATAAGAAGGACAATTCCATATATGGATTTTTTCAATCGTTTTGTATGATTACATTATTGTCATTGATGTACCTAATATGGTGAAATCTTCCAGAACTTCAAGGCTTTGGTGTCTACTGATTTAAATGACCGAATCGAACATGAAAGTAAACCATACACAAGGTCAATGATACGATACCATCATATATATATATATTGGTCAATATCAAAAATGACTCAGAATTTTTCCATTAAATAATTGATCTAATACTTTGCAGATATTTAATTATTAATTAATTTTTATCTATTTTTTTGTAATATTAAAATAAGATATATTAACAAAAATTTTTAATAAATTCCTTGATTATTAAAAAACAATAGATAATATTTTATATAGTAATAAATTCAAAAATTATAATCGCGGAACTTTCTTTAGCAATAAAATGCTTTATTTGATGAAAAGTGCTGATCTTTTTGCGTGTCAGATATATAGATATACTGTTTGAAAACAATATTTCTTTGAACTACGTTGTAATATTTACATATTTCTCATACTATCACAATTATGAATCTAAGTTTAACATATGGCTGACAATAAAATGCCAGCACTTTTTTCCGGAAATGCATCGTAAGTAAACGATCGCAAATTTTTTTCAATTTTATCTTTAAAAATATATTTCATTAGTAATATTTCACTTTATTCAAAATAATAACTCATCGATTCTTTGTTTATTTTAAATTTTCATTTAACTAAAATATGAAATTCTATTATGTGAAATTAAATATAATATTTATTAATTAATTTATATTAATAACAATTATAATAAGAATTGTAATTATTATTATATTGATATAAATTATCATTAAATTTCATTATTAATATTTGCAGAAAAATTACAAGAAACAAAGATTCGTTAAATTTTTGTCAGAAGATAAAAGAAAATTTGTTTCCTAAAATCTTTAAAGTAGGTATAACAATTTCTTATATATTTCTAGAGGAATTATTTATCCGAATCTTCAAAGTTAATTGCTTTTATCTTTCATTTTGTAAATAAATATAATAGATGGAATTTAGTTTTCTCCATTTTATCGTATCTTAAAGATATATTCTTATTTTATTTAATGATTTTTTATAAATATCAAATTCTGTAAAAACTCACGTTCTGAAGAGCTTTGTCTTTTTCTTCAAGTTTGGCGTTAACTTGCATAAGAGCCTCTTGTGTTTGATCAAGCTCATTTTCGATGGTTTGAATCTTTTTCTGTAGAGCACGAGCCTCTTCCTCTGCCTGTAAAAATAATTAACAATATTTCAATATTTCACATAATAAAAAGATAATTCTTTAAATAAATAAATAAAATAATTAGAATTAATTTATTGCTTTTATTATTAATTATTAATTTTAAATTATAAGATTATCAAAATTTTTGATTTAAAAAAAGTAATAATTACCTTATATAAATTTTCTCAAATTTATATCATTGTTTTATTTCATTATTAACAAAATTAACAGTTTTTACTTTGTTTCCCTTAAAGTTTAAATTAAAAAAATAACAAAGAATTTTTTTTATGAAAAAAAATTTTTAAACATACTTTTTCGGCACGCGCGTTGGCATCGCGAGCTTGTTGTTCGCAGAGCAACGCGCGGTCCATCGCGTTGTCCTTCTCCAACTTCATTCCTTGCATCTTCTTCTTAATGGCGTCCATGGTGTCTGTTTAGTGTTTTCTTTCTATAATAAACAAAAAAAATATATATTAAAAATTATATTCAAAATAAACATGATAAATTGAATCTATAAAATTTAATTAAAATTAATTAATTATAAAATATAAATTAACTAAGTAATTTTTCTTTAGATTTACATTTCAAATTCGTTTTTTCATTGTCTCTATATTCATAAACATATTTTCTCTAAAAATTTTAAAAATATTTTGAAACAAAAAATTCAAACATTTGAATTATTGAGCCAATTTTTTCTTCCTTTCTGACAAATTAGGAAATTAATTATCAAATCATCAATTGAACATAGTTATTCGATTAAAGCTGTTTAAAAATGGATCTAACGGAATTGATCTCTAATGGGTTTCGAAAATTGATGTTTTTTTCGTCAAAAATTGACGCGTGAAAAGCAAGTAGTGTTGGTTGTATGCATCGATATATAATTAGCGAACAGCCTGGCATTTTATTTATAGAGGAAGGTCTTGGCTGCAGAAAGTCTGGACTCTTTCTGCTTACACTTGATACGAAACATTATTATCAATCAGGACCAAATATAATGTCATCTAACTAAAAGGGTCCATTACAAATTTTTACATCTTTCATTTTATCATTACTTAAGTATAATTCTATAGAAGATTAATAATCTCTTTTGGAAATAAGACTCCAAGTTAAGAACATTTTTTACGGATAGTATTTTTGGAATCATCGATTAAAAAAAACTGGAGAAGGTCCTTGATAATTGACCATCAATTCGGAATTTCGAGTTTGAAAAATCGATTCAAAGATTTCACTAAATTTAATTTTTTCAATAAATAAGGAGATTTTTAAGAGATTAAATTAAATTTTAAAAAAAAATTTCCAGAAAAAGTAATTTTTATCTTCAAATTAAAATGAATTTCCAAAAGTTGAAATTGAATTCAAACAGAATTTCTGATAATTTCAATTAAATTCAAATGATCAATAAGTAGAATCCTAATATCATATTATTACTATGATACTTAATAAAAAGAATAAAATTCAAATTAATTCATAAATCAAAAAAAGAAACCTTCTTGTTTACTTAAAACATAATACTACTAAATAAATTTTCTTTTTTGTTTTTAAAAAAATAAAAATCCCATCAAGTAGTCAAAAAATAAATGAAGTCAATTTAAAAATTTTTAAATCGGACTTTTTCTAAGTTTAGAACATTAGGAATTTGGAAATCCATGTTGAATAAAAAAAAAGACGTAAACTTTTGCCCTCCCACGCACTTGATCTTGCAATCGCAGCGTTCGACACAATTAGAAAGAGTGGCGAAAGGGGGAGATGTAAAGCGTTTCTTTTTCTTCTTTTTTTTTTTTGTTTTGTTTTTAATGGTGAATGATGCAAGAAATATTCCGTTAGTTTTTACACGCAGAGATCCTCGAACCGACCTCTCACGTGAATCGCAAGAGGGAGGGTTATTTTTACACCGGGACAAGAGCGGAGGCGTTGCTTGCCTCCTTCTGGCCATTTCGGGTTACACATATCGAACATCGTCGACGACTATCCGTCGCAAAGACGGTGTCCTCTTACACTAAAATAAATAATAGATTATTTCTTCTATAATCATCTGGAGTTATTATGTTGAATTTTATGAAATCCAATAGAATTTTAATTAAAAAATTATTTTTTCAGTATCTCAAAAAGAAAAAAATCTATCAACGTACACACCAGCTTTATGATAAAAAATTTTTTTTTTCACTGAAGAAAAACAA